ATTACCTTAATCCTTTCTCTGAAGTGCGTTATCATTCATTCATCATGTAGGCTTAATCAATGTCGTGATCAACCATACTGCTTCTCTTGGTTTCATATTATGTAGTGATGTCTTTGCAGGCAAGTGAGGGACCTGAGCACATCTTGCAGCGTTATCAGTTTTCTATAATATACTCTTGCCAATGGAATATCCCCAATTAGGCCGGCCATCTGACATTACTTCCCAAAAACTGTAGGCCAGACCGGCAGCAGACTCAGAAGTGCCATCCTCTATCTTACGTCAGGCCAATCAAATTATGGTCTTGTTGTTGGGACTTTCATTTCGTAAGAAAGTCTATGAAGAGGAGATTCGAAATTCGATCTCATCAGAAGAGGATGGATGAATTCCGTTGTACTGCAGCCGTTTGGTTTTTATGCGACGCTGAGATTGATGCAGTTGCATAAAAACCAAATGGCTGCAGTATAATGGGCTTTTCTGGTAAAATGGACATTTGAATCTCTTCTTCATACACTTTCATACAAAATGAAAGTCCCAACAATAATGTGATTTCGGGAGATTCATCAAAATCAGATTAATCTTCATATCAACAAATTATGGTCTTATCACCGCTTATTCGTTATGCTCGTCTAGGTTGGATCGGATGAGACAAAAACTTGCATTTGAAATCCTTTTTTATATCTTAGTTACCTGCAACTTGTGGCTAGTTTTACGAATCTGGATAGAGTCCAACTTGATAAAGTCGTCTCGCCTATTACGTCAGATTATTTGGGGTTAGTATAATAGCAAATACTCATTCGGTAACCCCTAATACAATCCAAGTCTGAAAAAGTGCCTTTATTTACCCCGTGTGAAGTAATTCACTGTCATAATTTCAGTTTGTCACTTACCAAGTTTTGTTTGTGTCTCCATACTTCTAGTTTGCTCTGGTAACTGAAAGTTTGCCAGATCTATTCGATCCTTTTATTCTTGCATAGAGCAAAAGACCTTCTGGAAGCGTTAGGTTTGGCTTTGCAAAGCATTACCGGGGGACGATTGCTTCGTGGACTAAACTTGTCTGCGTATATATATTTGTACAGCTGTTTGGTTGTGTTTTGCTTGAAGGTTGGTGGGACAAGAAAAAGACTAATGCATGCTTTGGTGTTGTGGCTACACGACTATCGCAGTGACAATGAAGTGATAATGCCAAGTCAGCTGAAATAATGTACAGTCTTTTCTCGGGTAGTGGGTTTGACGAGTCTACTATCTCATCTGCCAATTAAATAGGGGTTAAGTAGGTACGCCCAGTTTTTACCCAGCAATTCACCTTATCCTTTCTCTGACAAGCCTTATACGCTGAGGCTCAGTCAGTTCCTGCTCCTCCCAAGACCCGTTTGTCGGGAGCTCCACAAATCCGCCAAAGTGGCTAGGTTGGGTTATAAGCCTTTGGTCCGGTGGTTTGGACAGAAACATCTGTAGGCACTTACTTCACATTGCTTTTATGACGTCTTGAATTGGACGGGTTTGTAGGGCATTGGGCAAGTTATCCAATCCTGAGAGGCTTAAGCTTCTATCTTGGCAGGGCGTTCCCCTAGGATTGGGTACATGTATGATTGCATACCTTGCGAGAAGGATATCGCAAGTGTGACAAACTCCGGCAAGTTGGGCATGATCAGTATTGCTATGTCCCGGAGAACTCATCGACCGAGAAGTAACGCAGCCAACCGGACCCTCACGGCTGACTAGGCACAGCTACACGCAACTGATCGCACATGAAGGGATGGTCTTGTGCAGGTTGTTGGGTCAGTTTTCGACACACCATCATCCTGCTCAGAGGGAATGCCTGAGGCGTGAAGGCTTGGCTGTTGGGAGGCTAGCGAGACCATATCTGCCATGAAGACAGCCCACACCGTGTCTAGACTGAACGGGTCTTGTGCTCAACCCTGGCGTGCATCAACCAAGCGAAGGATGGCGTCGACTCGCTCACTGGAGCCCTTGAGTCGGGGCAGCCTATCGCCGTTGCGACCTTTGCCCCGCCCCTTGACTGTTGTCTGGAGGCAGCTTGGAGGTGTCTTGGACACAGGTCGGAGGCGTCACAACGATCTAAGTAGTTAAGTGAGCCAAGTATTTTTTGGCTGAAAACAAAAGAGAAGTGCTCAGCTCCATGGATATTCTAGCCGTAACAAGGTACAGATTTGGGATGTTAAATCATCCTGATGAACTAGTGTTTGCAGACTTTCACATATTCTTCGTTAGATTTACAAAGAGTCTAAGGCTACTTGGTGCTATTCTCGGTAAGAGTGCACTATTCCTCAATAAGGGTTTATTTTTTAAATCACTTTGAGCAGTCTTGGTTGACTAAATTCTTACTTGGTGTTGTAGCTGAACCCAAATCGATGGTGGATAAAAAAGACAATTATTTTTCAGGCTTTCCGAGAAATTATGCACAATAAAATCTCAAGTCTGGCTGAATAGCTGCGATCCTACCCGCAGGCAACGTGGATCATGCGTCCTCTAATCACATGCCAGCCATGACCTTCAGGACGAACACCTGTCTATCAGTCACCTCAACTGGTTGCTGTATGATAATATCGATTACGTGTGTGCCGCCCGACCGAAACCTCCCATGTTCGACTCCTGAACAGGGGGCACCAAGCAAATGGTGTTGAACCTTAACTCAGCAGCCAAAACATCTTAGCAATCGAGGAAAAGCTACCAATAATTCTTGAACTTCGGGTATTCCGTGGTTTATATGAGCTGTATTCACCATATTTAGTTAAGGTTATAAAGGACTGATAGTTAAATTTCCACACATTTATACGAGTAGACTTTAAGTTTCCATTGAATTCCACACATTGAATCTCGACACGTTAACCACTACTCCACAGTGTCAAGGGCACTCGTGGTAGCAAGTAAATGATATTCATAAAAAAAGGCTTAAACCAGAAAATGACAAAAACTATTGTGCTCTTCAATGCATCAAATTATGCAGCATAAATATCATACCAAACAGGTATAAAATATAATACAAAAATGTAAATATAATGGCAATATGACAAATTAAAGACGTGTTGCGTGTTTAGAGTTTACATTTTCTCTTGTCAAAATCAGCTTAGCGTTAAACTTCTCGA